TCGAGTCAGGTAGCAGCAATCCAAGCTCCCATGTCCTGGGAATCAGGGCTGCCAGCATGCCCCAGTTCTGACCAGCACAGACCATCCTGTGCTCAGCACAAGGTCACTGCCTTTGCCAACAAAGGCACCGTTTGTGGGGGTTTGGTCTCATTCCAAGACCGAGTGCTGTAATCTTAATTCACTTAAGCCTCTAGTCGTGACATTTGTTTTGGCCTGAGCTGGCTTCAGCTGGAAATGTAAAGTTGCCTTTATTTTCTCTCTGATCTCAGGTGTGTGTGTGTAACACAGACGTGGTGAGCAAACCAAATGGATGCAGTTGCACTGGCTTTAGTAGAAGCTGCAAGTTCACCTAAGTCTTGCCATCCCAGCAGGCTGGTGCTTGTGGTGTGTTGGTTCACATGAGAGAAGGGAGAGTTCCCTGCAGCTCCAAACCTTTGTGGGAACAGTTTTTTGATTAGTATTCCCCATAGTGTTTTGTCTCTATGTGTGTTGCTAAATCTGCTGTATCTTGAAGGGTTGGGGGCAGTAAACTGCAACAGCAACCTGTCCAGAGCTGCAGAGTGAACTGGTGGGTGAACAGCACAGAACCCAGTGTTCCCAGCACACACCCTAAGGCGGGAGAAGAGGCAAGGGAAGGGAAATACTAGTGCAGACACACCTTCTGCTGTGATAGCTATCCATATCACAGGATGGATTTTAAAATGTTTTTCTTATGCACCTGAAATACTTCAGTGGGAAAGGTTGAGATGTAAGTCAGTAGTGAGTGTAGACTGGGATATACATTCATACACACACATACACATATAGAGAGAACTGTATATTCAAACTTGTGACTGAGATGTTTTTCTGAATCAAAAATCTTCAGTAATTAGGAATTCTGAGTTCTGAATTCACCTAAGCAATCTTTGCCTGTCAGCTCCCTCCCTTTTAACAGTTTTGCTTGTTTTGTCTGGAAACATAGAGGGTCTAGTCCTGTACTTGGACAGGTATGAACACTTATTTTGTCCTTGGTACATGTCTGAGATAAAACTGCCAGCCATGACAGAGCAATATGTGAGGAGGGGAGGTCCTTGTTAAAAAACATTCATTTAAAAAAAACTCGGACTGCTGCAGGAAAGAGGGAGGTAGGAATTTTAAGTTCCGTAGTAGAGGTGGAAATTTTGTAGGAACGGTTTATTAGTATGGCAGGAATTAATTAAACCATTTTATTATGGCATTTTTTGTGTTGTAGAAAAAAGATTTAGGTTGGAATTTTTCTTCTGAAGAACCTGGGAAAAACACGAGGGGCAGTCTGGAGAGGATGGGGAGTTATTTCACCAGAGATAGAGAAGCTGTTCAGACCTGTAAGATGATGTATTTCCACAAAGGGCGTTCTTTTCAGTCTGCTGATGAAAAGTCTCGTGGGTTTCCCACCAGTAGAAGCGGCTTAATTGCATTTTGTGTATGCTCTTAGAGTACCTGTTTGGTGAGAACCTGACAAATGGTCTTCTGAAAGTAAATCAATTTTGTTTTCTTGGGCTTTCTTGAATATACATGATGTCCGGAGCCTGAAAAGCACAGCAGTGGCACAAGAGGAAGCAAACAGTGGGGCGCCAGTTAGGCTCTATGGTTCTCTGAAAGACTTTGTAGCCTCCTATAAAGAAAAAGAAGAATGTGCTATTGGTGGTAGTGAGTAAATGGAACCTTCTTGTCTTCTTTGCTCTTGTCTCCTTATAAATAAACCATTGTTGTCCATCCTTGGCATTTGCAGTTCATTGTGATAAATTGGTCTTGATGTGTCTGACATTTCAACCAAGTTGTTTAATGGTGCTTTTCTGAAAAGGCAGATCTCGCTATAACATTGGTCCAGAATATATCCAGGGGAAGAGCACTCACCATCACACATAGCACTAACCCTTCCCTTCCTGGGAGGATGAAGAGGGCAGCAGGAAGTAAACATTTTGGTCACGTCAGCCCAAAAGGCCTGGGTTTGTGTAAGCAGAAATGGGAATGAGTCTGGATTGTAGTTGCTAAAAGCCCGTTTCGTAGCATGGACAGCAACACTGACTTCACTTGCATTGCTGCAGCGTCTTGGGGGAGAGGGGAAGAAAAAACCCAACTTGCTGAAAAATAGATGTATTTTCACCAAAATTATGTTTTGAGTTTTATGAGCATGCTTTATCTGTTACCTGCCTGTGCTTATGAGTCGTTGGCTTCCATGCAACAATGGCTTGGGTACAGAAACCACTGGAATGCAGAGATTTGATGAACTGTGACCAACAGCAGCTTCTGTTGCTGCGTCCCTGAAAGTTCAAGCTTTGATTTACATATCTCAAATGTCTGTAATTACTCTGTCAGGGAGATGATTAACACAGATTGTTTTCCATGAAAAGGAGTCTTCTGCCTATACCTTTCCAAACCTTTGAGCTTCCCAAAGCTATTAAGCATCTGCCCAAAGCAGCCGAGCAAAAGTAATGCCCATATTTATGTGACCAATAAATAACCTTTTTGCTGGTTAATGATCCCACTGTGTGATAATACCATTTTATAATTATATTTCACCTTCTTCAAAATCGGGTGTGTAGAACGTGTTCTCACCTGTCTTGACCCACTTAGTTCTGAATGGAGATTTATTACGAGGATGGAAAAACTGATCCTGCTTGGCATCGAAACAAACTTTCCTTTTCATCACCACAGCCTGAGCAAGAAGAACTAGAACAATTTTTTTGAGATGTGAACCAATAACCTATTTAACAAATGTCTCCGTGACTTTTTTGGTGTCCCAGCTTTCCTGGTATGCCAGCCCAATACAGACCTTGTTCCTGAATGCAGTCAGGGGACAGACTTTTTGGAGGCCTTAAACACATTATCCCTCTGTACGATATTAGTGGCAAAAGGCCCCTTTTTCACCGATGCTCCCTCAGAAAAGCGAGGCAGTCCTTGCCAATGGGGTTGTGTTCTCCTCCCTACAGCAAGGCAGTGTGTGCCTCTCACCCCCCCAGGCCTCATGCACTGCCTCATACACATGGCAGCACATGCATACCCTGGTCCTTTTCCCCTCAGAGTTACCCCCTTTCCCCTCGGAGTTGCCCCCTTTCCCCTCACAGTTGCCCCCTTTCCCCTCGGAGTTGCCCCCTTTCCCCTCAGAGGGGCTGATGGCAGCAAGGTGAGTCCTCTGGCTCTTCCCTCCCTGGCCTCACCCTGCTGGAGTGCAGTCTGTGTGTCTCTGTATGGGGGCTTAAAAAAAAATAAAATTACAGTGATTTGGCTGCAGGTTTGTGTTTTTAAGCACAGCATTCTGCAGGCTCACAGCTGTCGTGTGAGGGCCAGGTAAGGCTGGCAGAAGCGGTATTTTTGGGATGATCCCATCATGCTGAGGGGCTGTGGGATGCCTAGGCCAAATGGACCATTTCAGCTCCATTTTTTCACATTTAAGGAGGCTGCTGGTTGCCAGTCAGCTGCCACAGGACTTTTTCCTTCTTATCCATGAATTGTTTGGTCATATTCAAGGATGGCTCACCCTGGCATACAGCTCTGGGGAGAGCTCTGCTGCTGTGAGGCCTCTCCTCGAGGGTGAGGGCAAACACACCACTTTACACCATTTGGCACAGCTGACCTGTTTTTCAGAGGTGTTGTCTGACTTCTGTGGAAGGACACAGGGTTCAGTGTCACCAGGTGTCCCTGCAGTTGTGCACTGTAAACCTGCAGCTTAAAGGGACTGGGGCTGAGGGGAAAATGTGGGATGTGGGTCCTGGCCTGTAGCAGGGCAGTGATCTGAGCTGGCAGATACACTGATCCTGGTGAGATGGTTTTTATTCCTGACTCGCTGGAAAAATAACCAGAATAAATAACCTAAGCAAGGATCCCTTTTTTCCTCCCCCCTGTAATCATGCAACATTCATAAATGTTATTTAGGTATGCACCGAGCAAATTTCAACAGAAATGCTGTCATGCCTCAGGGTTGTAAAACTTCATTACGTCTCTTATTAACTGTCTGTCTGTGGCAGGACCTAATTTTTCTTGAAGTATGGGTTGCCCACAGCTCCTCGAAACAGCTTCTGATAGCACTTGAAGGTGCTAAGACAGAGAAATCCTGGCATTAAATGGCACTACTCTTCAAGTGGCTGATTGATGCTTTGGGGCTGTAAGATGCCCTCTCACAGCCTTCTTGTGCAGGTGGAAAGGGAGAGGTATAATTTTCATCCTCTCTGGCGCGGCACTTGGGAAGCTGATTGACTTTGCATAAATACCTTTATGGTATTACAGGGTAATGTGAAAGTTTTAATTTAGAATTTAGGTTCGTCCCCTTTCAGTAGACCTGCAGCATTACCATCATTAATACCACTGGAAGAACTAAACATGTAATTTTTTTAAGAGAAAAATTGTTGTTTAATAAGCAAATCCTACCAATCTGGATGATGATTCCGGAATGCTAAACAATTGTTTAAACTGTGAAACATTTTTCATTTCAGCAGCCTTGTCACAATAAATGTAGATCTGCTGCTCTTTACACTAGCATGAAGGGAAAAAAAATGAATTTTAGCAATGCAAAGTAGTTATAAGAGAATGAGATTTACAGCTTACTTGGTTCCAGATAAATCTGGCAGATTTTTTTTCATAGTTGTGTTCTTACATGTGCTGGGGTTTTTGCTTCTGCAGGTCTTCCCATGTCTCCGTGTCTTAGATCAGAGTTGTCACAATTTACACACTTGCAGCTAAGTTTGTTCACCACGTGGGTTCATACTTGTGCTTTCCTCTTTCTCTTCAGGTTCACTGACCATAATCTGCCCAGATCATTAAATTTAGAAAGTACCTTGCACTGCCAAACATATAAATGCACCCTTATACCAAAATTAGGCAATTCGTTTTTCCTGGCTTAATTTGAGGTGATATTTTCAGAGTCATTTATCCAGTACTGCTACTGCTATGTGCAGGGTGCTGGTGTGTTCATACAATGTTAGCAACGTTTAGAATCATGTTTAAATGTGGGGTTTAATTTTTTTTTTTTTTTATCCTTCCAGCCAAGCAAGTATGTCCATCTGAAAAAATTAGCTGTGGAGACCTAAGCAACAAGTGTATCCCGTCGTCTTGGAGGTGTGATGGGCAGAAGGATTGTGAAAGTGGTATTGATGAGGCTGGCTGCACTCCTGGTGAGTTAGAGGAATTCTTTAATACATACGCAACTTCTCCATTTAGGACCATAAAAGTTCTGTAGTGGCTGTTACAAATTGAATGTAAAGGGATGACTTTTCCTGCCAACAGGTTTTTTTCTCTCTGTGCTTGCAGTGCTAAGTAGTGAATTTTAGAAAAAGGGTGGAAAGAAGGATTCTTGTGTTGGAGCTGGCTGGAGAATGAGTGAACTCTGTGGAGAATAAAGTATTCAGTATATTGAGTACTGAGAATTAGGTATTCTTTCACTACAGTAGCAGAATGTATTTAGTCAGTTTGAAACGTGATTATCGGTGTTAATACCCAGAAGGTGTGGAAAGGACTTAAATACGGTGTTCAAACCTTCCTCTGGGGCAGCCCAGCAGCTTCACACTGTGTCCTGTCCCTGCAGTGTGGCCCTACAGACTGAGGCCTCTGCTGGGATACAATAGATAGGCCTGGATATTCCTTTATTGATGGCTTGTTGGTTCCCCTGGACAGAGAGGATGAGATACTATGCACTGTAACTGTTTGAAATTCAGGCCCTAAATGGCCACAGCCTTCATTAGGCCTTCCTCTGCTGCATGAAAGAGCTCTGTAACAGTGCCTGTGCTCTGTGAAAACTCCTGCACTGTGTAACCAAGCCATTTCTCAAACTGTCTTTGATAGACTAAACATATTTAGTTCTTTATGCTTCTTGTTGTCAAATATTTTCTTTTGAATGAATGCTTTACTTGTTTCTGTGGCTTCCTTTGGTATTCCAGTTGATTTTCAAACTTTCTTTTTATACAGACCTCCAGAATTTAGGGAATATCAATCCTACCAGTCTGTGCAGAAGTAAAATCACCTCTCTAATAATGTTCTTAATTCTGTTCCTACTAAATTCCTTGTATGCAAATGATCTGTTAAGAAGCTCTGTTAAGATTTTCTATGTGTTTATCCATCCATCAGTATTTCTGGTGTTCTCCAGATTACTGGGGAAAGGGTTGAATGATTACACGCAAACACACATTGATGTTTCTTCATTTGACAACTGAATTTTGGGCTCTAATACCTACTCAGTTCATAATCCACATTATATCTTTTTGTTGAAGTTGTATAACAAAATAGCTTTCAGTTTTTTACTCTTTTACTTTCTGTTCCACAGTTCAGCACTCATTGTAGAAATATTTTTCTTTGTCCTTGTTTCTGCTTTTTCCTTTTACTTGCTTTCTGTGTGAAACTCTTTAAGTGTTCTCTCTATAGCATATGATTTTTTTTTCTTTGAATGAGAGGCTTGAATTAGAGGCAAGTTCAGAAGATAATTGTAACTGCTATTGAAAAAATCATTTTTTTCCCAATATGAGTTAGTGAAATTAGAACAATTTTTACGCTGGTGGCTACCTCCCCTAATTTAATGCTGCTGCTGCTCACACCAGTAGGAGTTGTCTTAGGGAGTTTTTTATTTGTAATAAAAATCTGCTAGAAATTGCTTTGAACTTCTTTTTTTCGAGGCTTTAGGTAACTCCCAAAGTGAATGGAAATATGTTCTGAACATCAGCATAATGATGCTATTAATGGATTTGGAAATCCATTAATTTGGAAATCCATGAGTGTTTCTTTCTGAATGTTTCAGCATCTCTGATCTTATCTTCCACAGTTTTAGTGCATGTGCAGGTTCTTAAAATGGAAGTTTAATCCAAGGACAAATTACCATCTTCTGATGGTTGTTGGGTAACTCAGGAGAGATGAATTAGTAGCTTTCATTAATTCCTAATCACTGAGTGGTGTCCCCCCATAGGCCACCACCTTGGGAATCTGTGCCGAGTCCCACTGTGGGATGGGCTGTTCTCTGGCAGGAGGACCAGAGTCAAAAAAGTGCAAAAAAGCACTGACAGGCAAACAGGAGCATCCTGGATGGGTGCAAACGTCAGAGCTTTCAGTGCTAAGATCTCAGCTCGGCACCCTCAGAGGCGTTGAACTCACTGCTGGATGGCTGTAGTGGGAGCATTTCAGGGAGGTTGCTTGCTTGTCAAATTAAGGTCTCTTCCTCATGGATGAGAACAAATGTGTTAGCAGTTTAAACTCGAGAGCTTGTGGAGGATTGATAGCTATCTTCTCTTTTATCCAAAGCTGATAAACCTCACTAAGCCTACCCACTGATACTCTGTTAACATTCCCATTTCTTCTCTGTTCAGAATCCTCCTTTCTGTTTTCCCTTATCTCAGCAGCACACAGTATCCTGACCAGTTCAGACCTCTTCTTTTGCTTTATTTTGTTGTTCTAATCTCTGCACTCATGTTTTTGTTCTCATTTTAAAAGAAGCCTCAGCCCTGTCACCCCCAGCCCCTTGGAGCAGAGCACCCTGTCGTAGCTGAGGCTGCACCTCTCCCAGAGCTGACCAACCTGTCTATAAATAACACATCCTACTGGATAAATGCTTGGAAGGGAATTTATTTGTGCCCAGAATAATTTCAGTGGTCAGAGCCTGCATGTGCAATAATCAAGTGGATGATGACTTGAAGATATTGTGGGTGAGGGCACCCAGAAGAAAACCCCTAAGCTCTTTCTAAATCCATGGTAATAAAGCTATTACTTTAACCTCATGTGACATTTGAAACGTATTTTATCTATGGATACTCCTTTTTTTCTTGATAGGAATTGACTCTTAGAATTATAAGTCTTCAAAAGGACTCAGTACAGAGTTTGTGAACATTACTTGAGCCTGCATTTCTGCACTGGTAATTTGTACCACTAAAAATATTATATCCAGGTACAGGAGCAAGGCTTGGTTGTGCTGAGGATGTGCAGGTGCCTGTCCCTGTGTCAGAATGTTCACAGTCCAAGTTAAGGGAGGATCCACTTCAGGAGAGGGAAATTATTATGGTAGGACAGTCATCCAAAACTGAGAATAGTGCAGGTGTATTATGGTTCTTCCTCCTCCAGTAGTTTGCTTTTCAGATATTGTTCTGGATTTGATAATTTTGGGTGAATTTTTCTTCTCAGAATGATGTAATTGCTTTTTGAATCAGTTTGAAATTTATCCAGTGTAAACACTGGCACAGCCAGCTGGAGGGAGAAAGCAGCTGTTCAGAAATTCAGGGATAAAAGTGTAGAATCTGAATAAGAGAATGCTCTGTTTGGGTTGGGTTCTCCTTTGTGCTTTGTATCAGCCACGTTTTTGGTTCATTGTCTTGCATAAATGGAAACAATGTGGTGCTCTGCATCCCTCTCCTTCGCTTTTGGTTGCTGCTGAAGACTTGCTGTTTCCATTAGCACCCTGTGATCTGAAAAGGGTTTGTCACAGCAGCGCTCAGAATATCTTTGTTCAAGGGAGGAGAGAATTTGCAGCCTTTCTGCTGTCCTGTAGCCCCCTTTAGGCAAAGGGTTCAGCTGCAGTTGGGAAGCCTTGGCCTTCCTTGAGCTCAGCTATGCTGGGAAAAAATGCATCATCTCAAACAACAAATAAGTCAAATATTTCTTTTGAGTTGCTCGTGTCCCCCTGTACAATCCACCCCTATCAAAAGCTGGCTGAGGAGGAAGCCAGGCAGACTGACTTCATCTGAAATAGGAGTCCTGTTTGCCATGAATTCGATAGATAAAATCTATTAAAATGAAAAGTTCCACAGAGTTGTGTAAAACAGCCTTGGACGGCCTTTTAGGCCTGGTCTGGTACCAGGACTGGGAAAGCAGCTATTTTCATAAGCAGTCTGGGCACTGGGCCCATCCTAGTGCTGGGAAGGCACTGCCAGCGAACAGTAAGGCACTTTACTGGTGGTGTTCACCCCTGAACAAGGAATAAAACTGCTGTGATTTTCACCCTGAGGAAGAACTTTCCGAGGAAGCAATGGAAGCTGCAAATTCTTTTACCTGCAGTGGATGAAGCAGCAGGGATTAGGGATCCAGATTTGTCTGCACAGGCTGTGATTGCACTAGGGATTAATTGCAGGTATTAATCCTTGCATGTAGGTAGGTAAGTGCCTGTCTGCCCAAACAGTTCCCTTGCAGCAGGTAGGCTTTAAGAGCACTGCTAACTTCCAGTGCACAAACAACTTCTGAAAACGCAAATACCTGCCTTTTTTAAAGTAAGAGTATAAAAAAAGAAGAAAAAAACTTAGTTTTCAGGTTTTGGAGCAGAAGTAATTTGTGTCTGTACAATACTAAGTGTGTTATAGTCACAGGTCAAGTCCTCTGACATAGACATCAACAGTTAATAATGTAAGAGCAGTCTTGAATTTGCTGGTTTGGAGGTGCTGACATCCTCTTTCTTATTTCTCTGGTTAAGGTTTTCTGCTCCCAGTGCCCCTTACCTTTGTCACAATTGATTGGACAAGCTTAGGAGCCTAAAAGAGAAATTAAATATGAGAGACTGTAATTAAAGCATCACAACACAAAACATCACACAGACTGGACTTTACTAAGAGAGATAGTTTTGTCAGCTACTCAGGAATGGGGAGAGCACTTGGGTGTGACTTGAGAACAGAAGAGCTGCCATCCTGTAACAGCTGCAGTGGGCACTGAACCCCTTTAATGCACATATTGCTTATTCCTCCTCACACACCCTCCTGGGGTGCTCAGCAGAGCACAGGCTCTGGCCCCATCTCTACTGACTGTGTTACTGCTTCTCACCTGGGCCACTTCTTGCACCCAATATGGAAATTGTGTCTTGCAGATGGGGAGCTGGAAGGTCACCATTTTCCCCTTCCTCAGTAGTCAGATACAGGGAAATGATGTACCCATTAATCTATTGATGGCATAATGAGTTATTAACCCACACCATGGTTTATTCTGTTTAGCAGTGGTACAGAGTGACCCAGGGAACTTGTGCAGGTAATGGCCATACTTGCACTGACCTTGGCCAGCTGGCCAAGGATGAGAGCCAGGAATTCCTGCAGGAGTCTCGTGACAGTGACAGGCTCATTACTGAGAGCATCTTCTTTGGGCTCTGGTCTTCTGGCTTTTCATTGCTGACCACGTGTCTCAGAATTAGTTCTAGATTTTTAGCTTTTTGATATGATGATGT